GTAGGAGGCAGCCTGCAAAGAACTCCCATATTCTCCCCCAGCTGCATTGACATTGGCGCCGCTTTCAAGAAGGATCTGGACAACCTCTGTATGTCCCCAGTAGGAGGCAGCCTGCAATGCGCTCCCATATTCACCCCTTGTGGCATTGACATCAGCACCCTTTTCAAGCAGGATACGGACAATCTCTGCATGGCCTCTGTAGGAGGCAGCCTGAAAGGAGCTCCCATATTCTCCTCTGGCTGCATTGACATTGGCACCACTTTCAAGAAGGATCTGGACAATCTGTATGTGGCCCCAATAGGAGGCAGCCTGCAATGCACTCCCATATTCTCCTCCTACTGCACTGACATCAGCACCCTGTTCAAGCAAGATATGGACAATCTCTGTGTGGCCTCTGTAGGAGGCATCCTGCAGTGCACTCCCATATCTTCCTCCTGCTGCATTGACATCAGCACCCTCTTCAACAAGGATCTGGACAATCTGTATGTGGCCCTGGAAGGAAGCAATGTGCAATGCACTCCCATATTTTCCCCATGCTGCATTGGCATCAGCACCACTTTTGAGAAGGATCTGGACTATCTCTGTGTGGCCCCAATAGGAAGCAGCCTGTAATGGACTCCCATATTTTCCCCCTGCCGCATTGACATTAGCACCCTTTTCAAGCAGGATACAGACCATCTCTGTGTTGTCTCTGTCAGAGGCAGCAGCAGCTTGCAATGCACTCTGATACTCTCCTCTTGCTGCATTGACATTGACACCCTTTTCAAGAAGGATATAGACAATCTCTTTGTGACCATAGTGTGATGCCACAATGATCTCTTGTTCCATTGACTGCTGTGGTGATGGTGCTGGCTCCAGCAGAAAATTTGCAGTGTCCACAAGGTTTGTAGCTGCTGCAATCCACAATGCAGAGGGTTCTGATGGCCAGTCTGGATAATCCCATGGTGGGGAATTCCATTTCTTCCCCATTGCTTTCTTCCATTGCAATGCCCTACCAACAAACTCTAGAAGGATTTCCTGGAGTTGGGTTTCAGGCTGTCCAGCAACATGTGCAAGACAATATTGAGAATACTCAACAACAGGGGGCAGATCACTCCTCATCCAGAAGGGATTTGGATATCCCTCAAAGGCTAGGACTGTGAGCAGAGTGCGTGTTATCTCTGTTTGTGCATGTGGGAATAGCACAGCCTGAATGCTATCCAAATATTCCTGTGTGGTGTAGTGGACAAGTCGTACCACAGAAGACCCCTTGTCTACAATGACAAGCCCAGCACAGACAGACAGAATAATCTGGATGTCCAGAACATTGTCTTCATCAAGTTTTTGGGCTTGTGGCTCAATAGCTAGAGCAACTGTTATTTCGGAGACTTTCAATGGCCGCTTTGCATTAGCAACCCAAACAAGGGTGGAATGAGCAGTCCTTCTGTCTTCCTCACTCTGGGCCTCGATTCGCTGCATTGCAATATCATAGCTGTCATTAAGACTTTTTGGTAGCTCCTTCAAAGCTTCCTTAACAGCCTTTATAGTGTTCCTTATGCTGAGAGACTCCATGTGAAGCTTGGCCAACAGGAACCTAGTCAGAATTTATGTTAGTTGCTTTTGGACATAGGTGGTTCTGCTTACATTCCATCTGCAGCATCAGTGATCTTTGCATGTATTTCTTCTCGTAACTCAGGTTGCTTCTGAACATGCTTGGACAAGCGAGGAGACAACTTGATCTGTGTATCAATATATCCTTGAATATCCTCCAGTGCCGCCTGAATATCTAGTATTTCAAGCTCAGGAGAGCAGGAAGGCTCTGGAGAAATGTTCGGCCGTGAAGTGATCATCAAGTTCACATTGCTACCCATTGCTGCTAGATGTGAGAGTAAAACTTCTCGTTGGAGTTCAGGATATTCATCCATGGCATCAACAATAATGAAGACCTTTGAAAACTCCTTGAGGCTAGAGCTGAGAACATCAGCAACTTCTTCCAGCAATGGTGCAGTGTTCTTCTCTTGGTGCTGCTGATACAACTCCTTTGCTACAGAGCCGACATCCCTGCCATATACAAGCTGTCTCCAGAGACCTGCCAGAAGCTTAGATGGTGTTTGGTTGTCAGCTTCCTTGTGGTTCAAATACATGCAAGCCACACCAAGGTCCTTGTTGTTTCTGCATGCAGCATTGAGGTGATCCACAACCATTGATCTAAAAACATCATAATTAGTAGCAGCCACTCAATGTCTACAATTGACACACGCAAGGACAGTTTTCCCTGCACCAGCTGTATATTTCAGCTTTGTTAGTCCAGAATTCATGAGGGCAATGAGTTACATACGAATTCCACGGCACCAAAGTGTCCTTCTGGAACCAGATTCCCATTGCTTAAAGAGAGGATTTTCAAGCAGCCACCCACCAGTTCCTTTCACCCGCAACTGTGAAATATCTGCCTGTTGTAGAAAAAAATTGATAGGTGAAAGCCAGTTAAGGAAGTCTTGGTGCAGAATATTCCTTATTTCCTCTTTCTCGGTGCCTTGGTGTATCGCAATATGTATGATTTCAGCAGTGGCATTCAGAATGGGGCCAAGCCCAGGACCTCCATCGCCACCCTGTTCGCCACCTGTTCCACCATAGCCTCCTGTGCCTCCTGGGTAAAATAATTACAGATGTCAGTATCCTAGTACATTGACACACACCTTTCATGTTAACTACATAAGAACTACTTGGTTCACGAGGCATGGCCATTCTGCATAAGTGCGGAGTTTATGTATGAGTATATCAGCCAGTGCTGAAAGTCAGATGGTAAACAGAACTGACTGAAGAGAATAGAGTGTTGCAGTACACTTGGGGGTGGTAATGTATTGGGCAAAGACAAGTATAAGATGAGGGGTCCGAGAAACATGGACAGGCCACATCACTTCACTCTCTTTATAAGATTAAGCGAAGCCGTATCTCCGTATGGTTAAATTGCGCAGCATGACCAACACACTGGTACGGCAGATTAGCGCCATCCTACCAACATGCGGAAAGTGATCATTATAGTCAGCCCCGCTCACATGCCGAGCTACAGGCTCCAGAGAACTTGAGAAGAGCTTGATGTCTGCCATAGCCGAGATGCCGTTTGGGGCGGATCAATTTTTTTTTGGAAGTTATTCACTTGACAGACTGCTCCCTCCTCGGCTTCGCATGCAATGTCCACTAGAGTTAGTTGTCGTTAACCCCAGCTTTACACCACATTTCTGAGTCTGCAAATTGCGGAACATTTCAAAACAACTTTCTCAGCTTGCTCTCCAAAAAGTCACAACAAATGAGCTGAGCAAGTGGGGGGCCGGCGACCGCTTGTTGCGCTTTAAATTAGACACAAGACCGTAGCGGCAGATCCGGCGAAGTAGTTGGCCTCACTGTTCCCGCCCAGTACTTACGGGAACATCGAACTTGGGATGATGTGGCGCTTCGACGATGACAGGCAGCTGACAGTGACACTTCCATATTGAGCTTCCGAATGCACTGTTGTAGTCCCGCTCGCAATGCAGATCAGTCGGATTTTTACCGTAGTCTCAGTGAGCTGGAGGATAATAGCCACAGTGCCCTGAACGAGGACTTGAAGGTGTCGCGTGGTCGTCGCATTATTAGTGTGCCGTACTTAGTAACTTACGTTGGTGTCGAACTTGGATTGACAGTGGCGTATCGGCATGGCAGCAAGATTTGCACTGACGGCTAGGAATCAATATTGGGAACCTAGCCAAAGATACAAAAGAAAAATTTGGGAATGTAGGCCTGCATTAAATTAGCTCTTGTTGGAAATGGACTCCAACCTCTGATGAGGAGGCGCCAACGACTTCCTCTTCCAGATCGACGGTCGTACCGTGATTACCGTCGACATTGTCGAATCTACATAGCTCCCCTAGGCCCTTCGGTGCCCGCGGCGATGTGTGTCCCGGTCACGAAGCATGCCGTGGATCACGCGTCCAATTTCACTTCCGGTGCATATTTATCGCCGATGTGCTTATTGTTGGACAGCCAAGGCGCGCGCGTCCCACTACCTCGCTGCTGCCTTCTCCGTGGGCCTCTTCCCACTCCGCTCGCTCGCCCTCGCATGCACCTTCCTCGTGTACCCCTCCGCTAAGTACCCCCGGCGGGAATGGACTCCTTCGCCCTTGGCCCTATTCCTGTGCGCCGCTCGCGCTGGTCATCTTCTTCCCTCTCCACGCACTCTGCCTACGTTATGGTCCCGACGCTCTGAAACGACGACGCTGGAGATTAGCGGCCCGCCTCTTTCCTCGGCCCGTCATTCATCACGCTGGATCCGCCAAGCACCAGCAGCAGCCGACCACGACGAACAGGCTCATCTCGCGCGCTTCAGCGTTCGCGCCCTACAACGGCGACGGCGACCAGAACGAGCCCCGCAGCACGCGGGTGAACGGCATTTTACCGTCGTGCACCTTCCCGAATGCAACGGGCACGCGGACTTGATGTGGTGGTACTAGGCGGCTCAGCAGGGGCAGTGGGGCATATCACTCTCACCATCTGCTACAAACGGAAGCACTGAGGCGGTATACCATGGTCCGTATATGATGTTCGATTTATTGTCTGGTTGAGAACTATCATGAATGTGCATTTCTTGGAGCGGAACTGGAGATAAAAAAGTTTTCGATTATCAATTTTTATTCAGACACGGGGAGTCGAACCCCGAACTGCATCCGACTACTCATTCGTTTCATCATGATGTGCAAAGAGGTCGTGTACCATACACCATGTCTGATTTATGACCAGGGTGAGAACCGTTATGGGTGCGAATTACTTGAAGCAGGAATAGAAAGAAAAAGAATCTTCATGCCCTCGAGCTACTCGGACATGGGGAATCGAACCCCGAGCTGCTCCGAATACTTCGTGAAGAAATTATGCAAAGAGGCGGTGTACCGTACACCATGTCCAATTTATGACCTGGTTGAGAACCGCTATGGGTGCGAATTACTTGAAGCAGCAATAGAAAGAAAAAGAATCTTCATGCCCTCGGGCTACTCGGACACGGGGAGTCGAACCCCGAGCTGCCTCCGAACGCTTGGTTGAACAGTCAATGCAAGAGGCCGTGTACCGTACACCATGTCCGATTTATTGCCTGGTTGAAAACTGTTATGGGTGTGCATTTTTGGAGCAGAACTGGCGACAAAAAACGATTTCGGCCATCGATATTCAGACACGGGGAGCCGAGCCCCGAGCTGCCTCCGAATTCACCCGGAGCCATATTGAAAAGATAGAGGCGGTGTACCGTACACGATGTCTGATTTATCACCTGGTTGAGAATTGGTACGAGTGTGGATGTCTTAAGACAGACCTGAAGTGAAAAAAGTCGTTCAACCGAGCTATTCAGACACGAGGAATCGAACCCCGAGCTGCCTCCGAGTTTATGGGGGGAAACCCATGGAAAGATAGAGGCAGTGTACCGTACGCAATGTCCGATTTATGACCGGGGTGAGAACTGTTATGGGTGCGGATTACTTGAAGCAGGAATAGAAAGAAAAAGAATCTTCTCTGCTCGAGCCACTCAGACACGGGGAGTCGAACCCCAGGCAGCCTCTGACATCCAAAGTTGAATACTAGGGAGTGAGACGGTGTGCCGTACACGATGTCCGATTTATTGCCTGGCTGAGAACAGTTCCGAGTGTGGATTTTCTTGAAGCAGAATTGGAGAGAGAAAAAAAATCTCCTGCTCTTCGGGCTACACACTCAGAAGCGGGGAGTCGAACCCCGAGCTACCTCCGAATTCACCTGGAACTCTCTTGCAAAGATAGAGGCATGTCCCATACACCATGTCCGATTTATGACCCGATTGAGAACTGTTATGGGTGCGCATTTTGGGAAGCAAAAATGGAGAGAGAAAAAATCAGACGAAACCACGCATTCGGACACGGGGAGTCGAACCCCAGACTACCTCCGAATTCATCAGAGCTCTGTCACAAAGATAGAGGCGGTGTACCATACACAATGTCCGATTTATGACCTGGTTGATGACAGTTCTGAGTGTGCATTTTTGGAAGTAAAAATGGAGGGAGAAAAAACTCCCAAGACTCATAATTCAGACACGAGTCGAACCCCGGGGCCGCGCTGCCTCCGAATGCTTCCTTAGAGGGACCATGTAAAGACGCGGTGTACCGTACACTATGTTTGATTTATGGCCTGGTTGAGAACTCCAGTAGGTGTGCAATGCGTACAAACGGAAAGAAGTTGAATTTCTAAAACCGTGTGAAACGGCCAACACGCCGAATGTGCACGTCATGAGCTGTGGCTGTGCTTTTCTGTCTTGTACGACGACGACTCCAATTTTCCGTTGACGCCGCCATGTCCGCCTCCGCCCCCTCTGGCGCATCTGGCGCTTCTGGTGCTCCGTCCGGCGCATCCGGCGCATCCGGCATCTCCGGCGCCTCCTCCCCATCGGCTCCCACCCCCCCTCCATCCAACAGCGTCTCCAACGCGCCCTCCATCGCACAGACGAACCCGCCCGGCTTCGCGAGCTTCACGCAGCCGCCGCAGACGGCCACGAGCTTCTTCAAGATCGCGGAGAACCAGATGATCACCATTGCGTGGAACCTCACCAGCGTCATCGCAATCCCCACGAGCCTCACGCTCAACGCCGTGGGCGACAACGGGAACACGTACCCCGTGGGGTCAGACCCGTCGGGGCATGTTCCTGGGACAGCGACGAGCGTCGTGTGGGATATCTATTCGTATAACCAGGTGCACTTTCCCCCATTTCTTGAATATTTGGGATCTGTGATCGAGGTGGTGATGATGCTAACGACAACCTGCAGGCACACCCTGGGACCCCGCTCGCACAGGGATCGTATACGCTGCACATGTGGGACGACCGCGGCCCCACCGCGACCGCCCGCGCGGGGTACATGAGCCCCAATACCGCCCTCTCGTTTGCCATGTACACACCGCAGGCGTACACCCCGTTGTCTAGTGGTGAGTCTGCTTGCTCAATTCTACTTTACTGTACTGTACTGGACTGTGCTTTGTGGCACGGGTGAGGGACGCCGCCGCGTTACCCACGGGCGGCGTGTAACCTCCGAACGGGTTACCTGTCGTCCATTCTCCTCCCTATATTTATATTCACCGCACACGCGTCCGGTCCCCCTCCCTGACGTCCTTCTTCCACTCCTCCCTGCCTTCCCGCTCTCGTCCTGCTTTTCTTTTCTCACCTTGCCCCATCCATCCACACCGTACCGCACGGCACGGCGTTAGCACTGGCGCGGCGTGCAAACCCCGTCCCGGGCTCTCGTCCTTACCCCGGTCCTGGTCCTCCTTCCCCTGCATCCACCCCTCCCTTCCCTCTACCCCACTTCCTGTCCCATCATTCTTTCCATCCATCTCTTGTACCTCCCCGTCTCCCAGCTCTCCGTCTCGTCCCGCTCCATCTCCTTCCCCGCTCCCTGCTCCCATTCACCCACCCATTCCGCATCCACCCCCACTCCGCCTCCGCCTCCGCCTCCCTCCCAGCCCGTCTCTCCCTACTTCTCCTCCCTCCCTCTTTTCCCTACTTCCCTCTCTCCCTTCCCTCCCTTTATAAACTACTTCTCACCACTCACCCCTCCCTTCTAGGCTGGTCCTGCACAGGCTGCTCCTCCGCGCTCGCCAACCGCCCCGCGCTCGCGGGCGTCCTCCTCGCGCTGCTGCTCGTGCTCGTCTCGGGCGTGAGGGTGCTGCGGCGCGCGGGTGTGTAGAGTGTAGGGTGTAGGGTGTATCCCGACGACGGACACGGACTGTTTTTTTTCATTTGCAGTATGCATTTATGCTTGGTATACATCGCACGCACGCACGGACGGACAGTTAGGTACAGTTTACGTTATTGTAGCGGGGAGCGGGTGATAATAGAGGACACGAGTCGCGTCGCGCAATCCAATCGTTTCTTTACATGCAGGAACCCCCTCGTCCACACCGTAACTAAAACGCACCATGGTTACAGCACCTCCCTCGTAAACACGCCCTGCGGGTCCCACCGCCTCTTCGACGCCCCGAGCCGCGCCATCCTGCCCGGGCCCTTGTACCGGTACTCCATGGCATCCTTCCGGCTCGCGTGGGTGTACGATTCGGACAAACGCATCCTCTGTGGTGTCCGTCTGCGCTGTCCGATCCATCTCGCGTACCAAGTCGTGGTGGGCGGGGTCGGAGTACCAGCTCAGGACGTTGCTGCCATTAGGACCCACAAGCACCACGAAGCCAGAACGGAAGAGCAAGGCCAATAGTCGACATATGCAAGGAAATGTGCGGGCTTCAATTTGCGCATCGTACGGATTTCACGATCAGGGAAGTAAAAGTTTAGGCGTCCTCCAAGCCTAGGACTGTTTGATAGCTTTGGAGGCCCCGCCGGGGAGAGATGGACCGACGGGGGACAGGAAAATGCCAGTGGTGCACTGATTTTTTGCGAATTATCGAGTACCGGGCCGCCGTGCACAGGAGGCGCAAGGAATCGCAGAACTCAGGTCAAACCCTGGACCAGGATTAGAATTAATTTCTGGATAACACGAAGGGATGGTGAGTAGCGCAGCATCTTCTCCCGACCCATATTCGGTCTTTTTTTTGAGCTTGCAGGAGAGCGCCTCAAAGCCGGAATTCATTTATTGAGGACTGTATACAGCTCAAAAGATGGTCCGATGCATAAAAAGAGGAAATTGCTAACTACGACAGATAAAGTGAGAATTCAGGAGGGAGACGGCAATCTGAGAAGAAACATGTAGGGGGTCCTAGATAAGGGAGATGGAGGGCGGATGCGACACGCTCCATTGGTAATAGGATTCGCTCTGCTGCCGGTCATGGCGCGGTATCCCTTGGGGGCTGCCGTCGAGCGCGGCGGAAGCATGGTGAAAGAAGGCCCGCCCCGTTTTTACGAGCATCTGGTTCTTTCCCGGTTGCTTCTTCCACACCCCTCGCACGTAATGCATGACCCGCGCATCTCCTCGCGACTTCTTGGCGGTGACTCGATACCCATCCACGCAACTCTGTGCTTGCGCACCGTCTTCGTCTGTTGCGCAGTCGCCTGCACGTGGCGAGGGCTTGGATCGCAAGATCGCGATAGCCCAGCGCGGGACGTGGGCGAGAACGCGGCGGTGGATGTGGGCGGGACGTGGTGGGCGTGGCGGATACGACCAGCTCGTTGTACGCAACGTGCGTATTTTTTCCCGCGCGTGGACCGCTTCGGAGACGTATTGTAGCTTGCGGGCTCCAAAGGCGAATGCGCGGGGCCCGCTGAAGGTACTGCGGGAGAAGCGTCGTTGATTTGGGGGACAGGGGTTGCGCGTAGGTGGAGACACGACATGCGGAGAAATCGACACGTGGACGGAGATACCATGGTGGAGAGACGGATGGAAGCGACGGGGCTGTAGACGGTCAGCGAAGGTAGATCGAGGGCCAGAGAGCCAGAGGGAGGGACAGGGGAGAGGGAAACGACGTACCTTGGGCTCAGCACGGGGGGACGCTGCGCCGGTCGTCAGGGGCTCGTATCGTCCATTGATGAGGCCGCGACGGGTACGGACGGTGTCGTTGATGAACGGGCGGGGTGCTGTGCTACCCGATGCTTGACGATATGGCAACGCAATGTAGAGGGTATGGGGAGGCGGCCGGAGACTAACCGCCATGTACAATTGTTGCGCATTGAGCAGGGCATCGAATGGCGACAGTAGAAGCCTTAGCCTGAGTTTTTTTGCACAAGATGAGGGCGTTGGTAGAAAGCAAAGGATGGGAGTGACGTACCTTCCCAAACGTGCGCGCTCTCGTGCATCCGTGGTGGTCTGAGCAGCAACGAACACATTGTGGAAGTGTAAGCTATCTGGTAAAAGGAGGACATGCAGGTGTATGCACCTATGCACCTTGTTCCCATTCCCGGGGTCGCTGGGGCCTCCAAGACCGAGGCCCTAATAGCGCTCAAGACGCGTTCCAGGTCCCAATCTGTCGGCGAAGACAACAGCCCTGAGGACATTCTCGCGGAAAAGTACCGTGATGCTGACGGCGTACGCGATGTGGACTGGTCGGAGAGACGCCAAGGAGGCAGGCGCGAGCGCCGTAGACCGTAGATTACGAGCGCGACGCGGGTGGATCGCATCGCCGCCGCTGC